TGTAGTAATATACCTGATTCTCCAAATAACACATGTCAGAAACAGAGGCTTCCTAGTCTTTCATTTCTTCCTGAGTTTAGAACATTGCTAAATGCTGGCAAAGAGATGTAAACTGGAGAGTGCTGACAGTAGTTCCAGTGTTGCCAGCATGGACACAGGGTGACCTTCGGCTCCCTCCCAGGTCCTCTTACTGGCTTGTGTCTTCCCTGAAGTTCATGGACTTGATTGTCCAGGTTTTCATTGGGTTTCCTTGTTTCTTCATTATTGTGTTGATGGGGACTTGTTCGAGAAATGGTTTATATAGTCTAAGTATTTCCAGATACTTGAGTGGTTTAGTGGGAATGTCTAAAAAATGAACACATGTACTCATCTTCTCCCATGTGCATTAGTGTTTTTCTTTCCTTGGTGGGAATCGAAGTTTTCAATGTTTAGCTCAGTGTGAGACCTTGGAGGTAACATCTATTGAAGGAGAAAGACAGAGGGGAAATAGCTCGCTTGTTTTGTGAGACAGGGTCTTGCTATGTGTGTGTATCAGTGTGGACTTGAACTCAAAGTAGTCCTCCTGCTTCAGTCTTCCAAGAGTGTAAGCCACCATGTGCAACTCTGTACAGTTTTATGAAGACAGTAAAATGGAATGATGTTTCTTAACTTTGTGGGGATTTAGGAGGTTTGGGAATAATCAAATAATCATTGCAATGCCCGCACAGTGTGGATTCCAAGGGCAGTTGTTATGGCTAAAAGCATGCCTCTTCTCTCCTAGAGTGCCGACTGGTCCACTACTTACTGTAGGTCCCCCGAGCTTGTTCTCTTTGACTTTCCTTTACAGAGGCCAGGCTGCATTCCTTCTTGAAACCCCATCTTGAGTCAGCTCATCTGGACACTCCGTGAATGGGATGGTGATTGGGCCCAAGTTGCCGATATCAGTGGCACCAAGATGCCCTGCAGGATGGAGCAGTTGAAAAAAAAATCCAAGGTGTAACATAATACTCCTTAGTCTTATCAGAAGGAATTGATTGTTGCCATCATGGCATTCATCTTTTTGAACTGCCATTTAGGAAATGGTATAGACTGGCTTACTTTCTCTCGGTTCTGAAATCTAGAGTTCCAGCATCCAGTCTCCAGCTAACCTGGGTTCTGATGAGACAGCTGTCCTGGCTTGCAGATGGCCATTTTCCTGCTGTGTCTTCACAACCTTTTCCTCACTTCAACCCTGGGGGTGGGGCAAACTCTTCTTACCAGGTCACAAGTCCTGTCGGATCAGGTCACCACCCTTTACGACCTTAATTTCTTTCAACTTAGTTACCTTAGGGGCCCTATCTTTAAGTGTAGCCACACTGAGGTTTGGAAAGATTCAGTTTTAGGGTAGTGGGGAACACAAATATTAAGTTGACAATCATCACTTATTTGCTAACATTTATTTATCCAAAAGAGCAGAAAATGATAAAGGGCTATATATTAGGCTGTAGTAAAAGAACTTTCATATGCCAGATGTTGAAAACTTGTATGTACATCATCGTGTTTAGTTATTATAATACTGTCTCATTTGCGTTTCTCCGTTACCCTAGAAGGTAGATATCATTTGTCTCTAGTAAGCAGCGACACAAGCCTTAGGTAAATTAGGTGATGTACTAATTATGAATGAGGTTGTAGTCTTGTTCTGTGAGCTGTGTCACATCCTGGCTATGATACTTGTGTCATGACTGTCTAATGTCACAGGTCAACCAGAACAAGTCCTACAGCTCACTCCAGGCTAGAATGACTACTGCAGGCTCACGGGGACATGGTCTGGAATCCATCAATGTTGGCTTTGCTCTGATTCATTGTGAAAATTGTTGCCAGCATCCTCCAGTCTGTGCTATGTTAGAGACTCACCCTTACCCAGCTGCCACTTGGGAACCCATGGTGACCAGATACCCAACCAGTGCCTAACATATAAAAGATGTCCAGAAGGGTTGAGCTGATGGAATTACTAACCTCTTTAAGCTCACTAGACCCTGTCAGCATCATACTAACACCTAGAAACAGGCTAACACTACCATTGCTTTTTTTCTGAGGATTATGTAGAGGATATATTCATGTTGTTTACTTTTAAAAGCTAATTGCATCTTCTCCCTTGTATTCCACTGGGTTTTTATGCATTTAGGCAAATAGAAAATGGTTTGGTTTTGGCCCTCTTTACTAGAGATCCTCCTATTAAAATACCCTCCATGATTTCTACCTGTCAAAAACTAATTATGTCTAGAATTCACTTAAAAATTAAGGTCTTGAGGGCTGGAGAGATGGTTCAGCCATTAAAGGGTAGGCTCACAACCAAAAAAAAAAAAAGATCTTGAAGGCTTAAGTTTATCATTTATGCTTTGTCCTGGATTCTTGTAATTCTAGATGTATTTCCTCTTTCTCACCTCTGTAAAGAACATATGTGAAAAGGAAAAGAAGTCAAGAGTGAGTAGCATTGGTAAGCGGGACTCCCTAAGAGGAAGCAGGACTGGTAGTACCATCGATGTGTACTGTGCCATCAATGTGTACTGAGTGAAGCACAGATATTGGATGGACTGAGGGAAGAGACTGAGGTCACTCTATAGACAAGAGGGGGCTCTATAGAGCACTTCAATTGTAAAAATATTCAGTTGAATCTCGTAACTATTTAAGCAATTCCATCTTTAGTAGTTTTCTTCCATAAAAAGAGTCCCATAAAAATTAAAATTATACATGCCATGGATGTGTCTGTGAACATATACAACAACTCGATTCAGTCCTCCTACAGAAAAAGGCACTTTGAGAAACCTAAGTGATTATTTATTTTCTATAAAATTCTTTTTTTTTTACTCTTTTAAAATATCTCCCCTTTCAAGAGTTTTTCCTCAGTAATCATTTGGCTGAGTGCTTTAGTACAGCAACTTGAGACCTTTTTTTTTTATATGTTTATTTTCATCTGCTGTGTGTGTACATGTGTGCATGCATGTGTGTTTGTGCAGGCTCCCACTTTCAGGAGTTGATTCCTCCCTGCCATCTTATAGTTTTTCCTCTCATTGGGACATTTTTATATGTAAGTGAACAGCAACTACACAGTGTGTGACATTAATACATGTGGTTCTCTTGTAGATTTTGAGCTCTTCCAGAGACCTTCATATAATCATTGCCCATATCTAAGAAGTGCTATTTTTTACTATAACCTATATATACATAAGTATATGTGTATGTATATCATATATAATATATATTTAAGTACGTACATATATATTTTTTGCAGCCCACCAGATGCAAAGCAGACACACATCTGGCTTCTATCAGTTAGGGAGTAGCTTTAAGCACATCCTGTTAAATTATCTGTTCCCAAAAGCAATCCCAACATATTCAGTAAATGTTATTTTCCCCCACAGTTATGCTCTTGATTGGACCACAAATTTTTCCATAATGCTGTACTTAAAAAATAGTACATTCTACTCTTTATTCATAACCATCAGTAAGCCCCGTGCCAGCCTTCTTTAGGAAAAATATTTTAAACATGACACATTAAGTAAATTGTATCCCCGTTCTGGAAAGAGACATGGAGTGTCACTCTGCCAGCTTTGTAGTCAAGTGTTGGGCTGACTCCTTCCTTATCTCTGCATAGGAGATGCAGTCTGTGCAGGCTCTCTCTTTCCTGGCTCCCAGGTGTCCAGGACATGCTGGTATTACTCCTAGAATGGTGTCAAATCAATTGCTTACAAATGAAATCAGATTACTAGTTCCAAAGTTAAAATTAGTTTGAATTTTATTATGTTATTTACACTAACAAAAGTTTGAGATATAATAGAAAAAATTCTGTTAGGATAAAAAGCTTATAAATGGTCCATGTATCTTCTTCAGGGCATTTTCCTGCCAGCATTTTTTCATGATTCAACTGTAATTGCTAAAGGCTTGTAATCAGGTATCCATAATCTATTTTTTGTTTTGTTTTCTAGTTATAACATAATTATGGTTAGCCTTGAAGTTCATGAGGGGTATGTATTACCAGTAGTCACTTGCAATCTTTGATTCACTGGGTATCAGAGAAGTATTAAAACAAAAAAACCCCAATGTATAACAATGGTAACAGCTTCCTTAATGGGTTACTGTAATGGCTAGAATGAATTGCCAACTTGACGGAATATGCAGTCACCTGGGTGATGTCTCTGGGATGTCTGTGGGGATTGTCTTGTTTCCGTTAATTGGTGTGGGAAGACTCTGCTTAATTGTGTGTGGGAGCAATCCCTGCACGTGAGAGGAGGAGAGCTGAGACACAGCATGCGTTCTCTGAGGAACTCTGATTACAGACAGAACCTGAGCAGCTACCCCAGGCTGCTGCCGTGACTTGCCTGCCACGGTGAACTGCTCTTTCAACTCTGAGCTAAAGTAAATACTACTCCTTTGAGTTCTGTGAGCTTATTTTATCACAGCAACAGAAAAGATACTAAGACAGGGAGCAGACTTCTTCTGGGGGTTTGAACTAGAAACTGGGGCATTATTTTACTACTTTAAAATGTGGCCAGGAAACAGGAAGTGGAAGGAGGGTATGAATTACTTTATCACCCTGCCCTTCCCCTAAGTGAGCCTCAGCAAATAGCCTGTGAGTTTTCAGATAATTATTGTGTCTGGTAAATCAAGTAATCACCAGCGTTCATGTTTCTTTGCGGAATGAATATGGAATTTCCATGTTATTAAATAAATCTGAAAAGGTCACAGCGAGTGTTTTTAAATGTGTGAGCATGTGTCCTCGAAAATGATGTAACCCGTGTTTGCCTCTCAATACCAAGCAGCAGGGATTAGGAAAATGAAAAAAGCACATCAGGTTTTTTGAGAAACTTTACTCCATGGAAATTTCATCTTATGGTGTATTTTGTTATCTGATGTGTATTTCTTTGGCCTTCATATTTTGAACTATGTGCTGTCCTGGATGAACCAAGATCTATTAACTATCCATGCAGTAATTAGTATCATCTTTTAAATATTCTTACATTAATTAGTATCTTTTCCACTAGGTACCTGGCTCCAGGGCAAGACTGTAAGGGGGCGTGTGCAATAGATCCTTCATAACCTCCTAGCTGACCAAGAGAAACCAACACACACCATGCACTTCCCATGTCTCACTGAATGACTGTGTGAAATGCTGAACATTTGTTTCTAGAAAACACAGTTAACGTAAGCTGTGTCCAAGTGAGTAAAATGTTTCATCTCTGTAGATCTATCTCACACTCATTTATTGCCCCCAAATAATATCCTGACAGAAACCCATTAAAGCAGAAAACAAAAGCAATTTATAATTTTAATTATTTCAAAATAATAAATCCCTGCTTAAAATAACCACTTATGTACTCTTCAAGAAAAATGTTATAAGAACACTCTCCAATATATATGTGTGTATACATTTTACACAGAAATTATCATACATAATATTGCTATTATGCCTTAACACCTATAAGGACAAGTAAACACTATTTTATAAACATATCATAATCCATTTAGGTGGTGTCTGTCATATTGGTGGACATTCACAATCTTTCTAGTCTTTCACCATTAAAGCTAATACTGTAGTGAACATTTTTGAACATAGAATGTTTTCAGTTGTATTTGTGAAAAATATCCCACCCTGAGAATTGTTAGCTCAAAAAACTTTGTTTCAAAGCTCATGAAGCAATGAAGTAACCACACACTATCAGGTGACAGCTTAATATTGTTAAGGTGCATCCAAATGGCTGACATTAACCAACAGAGTATTGCGCTACCTGCATTACTGTACTGAGGTCACTGCAGAACTATGGGCTGTGAATTGTCATTGTCAGTGTTTATGACTTAATGATCCTTCAGAATTGCCTTGTCATTTCACAAGCAGCAAATACTCTGGGGTTTATTTTATTCAAGAAACATTTAAAAGAGGAACTGACCACTACCTCCCTGTATATAACTGCCTTCAAAGTTGGGCAGTACTAGGAAGACTGTGTTATCACTATAGGGAAAAGCTTGTGTTTCAACTAATGAGTGTGTTTTCCCTCCCTCAGGTGGAAGGAGCGATTGTGGAAAAGTAAAACAACCAAGAGGCGTGGTATTGCTCCTATAACTTGGAACTGGAGAGGAGGCAAGATGCTGGCATAGCTGTTGAACTAGAACCTGCTATGCCAACATATTGCCATCTTTCCTGTCTGACAGCAGCTTGACCACCTCCATGACATTCTTCCATATCTTGCTACAACCAAAATGTGACATGTAGTTTGTGACTCGGTCTGCCTTATCCCAACTTCTCTCCGATCATGTACCAAATCACTCATTGCATTCTAGCCACACTGGGCTTTGGGGACTGTTCTTGGACATACCAGGGATGTCCCTGCCTCTTCACTCGTCTGCCTTTGTTTCATCATCTGAGTCAGTGAAGACGCCACATTCTTGGAAAAGTCTTTCATAGCAGCTTTGCCTATAAAAGCTTCCATGTGCCCAGCCAGTGCTCATCTCGTGACCCTGCTCTGTCTTTTGGAAAACGTTGGTCACTGCCCGAACATGTTTGCTTGCTCAGTTGCTGCCTCGTTTCCTTTACCAGATTGTGAATCCTTTAAGGATGACCAAGCTTGACGTTTTACTCACTGTATGCCTAGACCCTGACACTTTTAAGTCCTCAATTCATGGCTTTGAAATTCTACCATGAACTTATTGTGCAATAAAGGTGTCAAATTATTACATTTCAGCGTGTCATGAATGGTTCTGATGAAACACTGGTTGATAAGTAACAAAAAAACAAACAAGTAATATTGATTTGTAGGCCTGCAAACCCAACATCTTAAAGGAGATGCAATAAAGTTATCAAGTCTACCAACTCAGAAGACAACATGTTGTATTGAAAAGACAGCACATTCGAAATAAAAGTTATTTTCCAGTTTCACCATGGGTGTCACTTCTGTGTTCTTAGATAAACCATTTTTTTTTCTGTTGCAAGATAATACTGACCCCACAGGTTCCTAGAGGTAAAGTTAGTGAGATTTGTCTTAATCATGTCTAAAAGTTCTTATCTCGAAAGTTTATGATGTGTTTATACTGGTAAAAACGTCATGAGTTTTAATTATTTTACTAGCCAGAAGTCTTTACTTTGAAGCAAGTGATCTTAAGTGGAAATTCCAGACCTATAGAGCATGTAGCATTCTACATCAAGACACAGAAAAGCTGAGACCAAGCAGTTGTCTCAGATCTCAAATGTTTCTTCTATTTCTCACCTACCTTTATTTCTGGAGTTATTCATTATCCATCCAACTGTGACTTTTACTCATCTACTATCTCATTAGAATAAAAATGCTTGAATATTTGATATTCATATTTTAAAGCATTAAAGTTTTAGTGGGAAGTTTTGCTTTTAACGCACCAAATTTTATATTTACTTGATGCTTTTCCAAAGAAGAAAATAACAATCACTCTTGACTGGGTGTTGTAACTACCGCGTCCAGAAAACACTCATTATGTCTTGCTCGTGCCTCAGAGAGTATACTGAACAAAGCCCTTGATTTGACAGGTGGGCATCACAAAGATGTAGCAATTTGACCCACCTTTATAATGTATGTATGTTCTGTTTATACTAGGGTAATTATCATTTACAAGGCAATATGATAATTAAATGACTTCAAAAATGTTAGGTACTTTTTCTGATCTTAGGTATCTACAAATTTGAATCTCTTGGTACTTTGTGAATTTATCACCTTGTATTGTTCATTCAGTTCTAGAAGTTATTAGCCAATAATCAAGATAAAGAACACTAGCCTGGGAGGTCATTATAAATGCAATACCTTCTATGAGGACTTTGAGAAACCCAGTTAACAGATGAAACCTTATGGCCGTGTTGCTTTGTTCATTCATTATTTTGATGGGGAAAAATGTTGAGGAATCAATAGGCCTGAACTTATAGGTTATTGCAAGAACTGAAACTTTGAAGGTTTATTGCCACCGATACTTAGTTTTTAGAAGCTGCTGGAGCTTTTCCAGAGTTCTGACTGCATCAGTTGAAGAGATATCCACTGGCCCCTTGACCTCAGCGCAACCGATAAGCTGGGTTCCAAGTGTAGAAATGACCTCGAAGCTTAGATAAGCCCTCCTCTTCTGAAAGGGCTTGATTGTCATTTATAAACACCTGCACTCTCCTTTTTATGCCAAGCAAACAGTCATGGAGGAGGACTTAGCACAAGGGAACATCAAAGGGAGATGCTAACAAGTCAGGATTGGAACATTACCAGCAGCAGAGTTTTGAATGATGCTGCACGTTCAGTCCCTAGAGATGTGGGTTTAATAAATCTTCTTTTTTGATGAGCTCCCTGCTGATCTGGATTCTGTCTATACTTTGAAAACACTCAGCCTAAGTCCTAAGTCAGAGGGCAAGTATTTAAAAGCCTGTACACAGTTTTCAGTATGGGAGTTGGCCACAGCCATGAAAAGAGTCTGCTTTCCCACAGTGTCTGTGCTTAGGAAAACTGGAACAATGTTTTGTGATCGTGTTCTATTCTCCGAGGTCACTTACATAAACAGCCCATATACTGCACTCAAGAGCACTGCACCCCAGGCCACCATGCTGAGTTTCTGTTGTTGTTTTTAACTTCCTTCCGTCATCTTTACTCAAGGGGTTCACATTACAGCTCCCAAGCTGTTTTATTTTCTTTACTGATTGACCCAAAACTTTCACCTCTAAATAGTCACTCTTCAGTAGGGTTTCTGTCAAAATGTAAATGATACATGAGTTCCTCCAGGCTACAGATTGAGGTCTAATTATGCGGAAGGGGAATTTCCAAGATTTATAGGACTTTTAACAGTTGTAAATTTTTCTGTAACCCAAGGGGTCATATCTTAATTTATCTGTTTCTTAGGTTTATTGTTCTTGTGGATTTTTTTAAAAAATTAAGACATCTTTTCTTTTGGAGACAGTGTTGTGTAATAGATTGAAAGGCAAATAGATTTGGTCAGGCCCCAGACCTGTCATTTTCATGTACTAGTCATAATTTGGGGCAGATCATTGAATTGACTCTTCTAATTGTAAAACATAATGGTCAGAAAGATTATGTGAAATATTAGAGGATAAAAGAAAAATAGCAGCTGTTAAAAACTACATATGCAAGCTGGAAGATAATCTATAAAAAGATTAGTTGTGGATTTTAGTGGGAATTAACTTATTTAAAAATTTTCAAAGTCATCAAAATGGCTCAGCACATAGGACCCTTGCTGCCAACTTGCCAACCTGTGTTTGATCTCCAGGACTCTCGCTCGAGGTGGAAGAGCCAGTTCCCGCCAGTTGTCCTCTGGCCTCCATATTCCCACTGTTACATGTACAAGCTCACACCCTCACAAATGAATGCAATTAGATTTTTTTCAGTGTCTTATTGCTTTGTATGATTGTCCAATCCAATAAGAAAATATAGCGTTCTGAGTCAAAGGCAAATAAATTTTGTTCTCATCAATACAAAATACTTTTTCTACCTAACTTTGTCCCGAGGAAAACTCGTAACTCATATATGCCGTTGAAAATCATGGAACGGGGGAATAAGATGTAACTCAGGAGTAGTGTGCCAGGGGTTCAGTCTCCAGCACTGCAAGTAAATAAAAACAACAAACAAAAAATGTTGAAGCGGAGTGTGGCCATGCATGCCTATAAGGCCAGTACTCATGAGGCAGGATCAGGAGGATCATTATTTTAGAAGTCAGTATGGGCTACATAAATAGGTCAAAGCCAGACTGGGAGTGTAGCTCAGTGACAGAGCACTTCCCTAATGTTCAAGGCTGTGGGCCTAATCCCTGGCTATATAACAAACAAATAGAAATCAAGAGTACTTCGATAATGACTCATGACTCATACTTACTTTCTGTCTGATTGGCGTTGCAAAGTGTCAAATGCTGTAACTAGAAACAAGATCTAAATTGTTTATAGTTTTATATCATTTATAAATTCCTCCAACTCGTTTCTCCACTCCTACAAAATTTTGCTTTGGAAATAGTTGAGACTTTAATAAAATTACTTTTTAAATCTTGTCTACACGGGATCCTAATTGCTTACTTTTGGTGTGTAACAGGAAGCTCAGAATGCATTTGTATGGGAGGCTCGCCTTGTTTCAGCAGCAATGCCCTTGAGGGGTACAGAATAAACACAGTAGGAAGGTGGGGGATATCCACCATAGCAGTGAATCTCCTAAAGAATAAACCTTTTCCAAAGCACAAGTAAACCAATATCCTGCTTTTAGTTTTCCCTGAGATATAGACAATGTTTTCATTTCTGTTAAACTACCTGAATGTATTTCATAGCAGGAAAATACACCAGTTTCCTTTTCAAACACAGCTTTGCTTTAATTATCGGAAGCTAAGTAAGTTAATTAAATGAAACATTAAGAAATGTATGACCAGTGAATATTGATAGCTAGTAGGAAAACATTGCTCAAAGTCATGCAAAGAAACAGCTGGGGAAAGCCTCCTGAATAACATGCTAGATTTTTACCAGAAGTTTCTCTGGTGTGTGCTTCATTTTGAGATATGAGTATTATTTACACTTGAAGAAAAATTTTGAGGATTAATGGACTTTGCCCAAAAATTATGCACAAACTCAGCCTTCTCACACCAGAGTTGGTGTTGAGGATTAATACCACTTCTCAGGCAAAGCATTGTTGGCAAGTGGAAAGTTCATTTAGAAGCTGACTAGTCAATTTAAGAGTTTGAGTAGGTCACTGGGTATTTGTACTTTCATGAAGCTAAGATGGTCTTCATTGTCAAACTGGCTTTTTTAAATCCACAGAGTCACGTGATGGGCAAAATTCAGCAAAAGCAGAAACCCTTCGGGTGTAGTCTGGAGAACTTGCAACATCTTAGTTTACATTTAAAAGAAGCAGTAAGAACCTTTGCTTTATGATGCCTGTGTACCTGCCATGAGACCCATGAGTTAGAGAGATATCAAAGACGATTTGACCAAACCTAGACAAGAAGTTTAGAAATACCTACCGGTATGCATGAGGAAATAAGGCTGGGAAAATAGAGTGACTGGGAAATGGGTCATGCTTTAGCCTAATGGTTTGCATCCTTTGAAATGTCCTGCCTGGTTGTTTAACTTTGCAAAAAAAATGAGTTACTTGATTTGCTTATTCCGAATTAATTCTACATAATGGGTTTCAGAGATTTAGCATAAAAACCTTCCATTTCTTCTGCTGCTGGGCTGGGAGGGAAGATAGTTGTGGATATCCAATTCCAGTTTACTAGAAGAAAGATCACCCTTGAGAAGGTTTAAAAAGCAATGGAAGCAAGTCCAGAGATAAAGCACAGGGATACAGTCTCAAGCTGGAAAAGAAAAACAGTTCCCACTTCAAAATGTTCAGTCTTTAGGTGAATATTTTTAAAGCATTTCTCTAAACACATTCCAAGTAATCATGTTGTGCTTGTAATTGTTTACAACTATATAATTTTTATATATACAGTTGTCTCAATACTTGAACTGAATGTCAACGTTCTGGCAGTATTTGGGGAAGTGTGGAAAAGTCTCACTCTGGGCTGGGGAGATGACTAAGTTGACAAAATGCTTACCATTCAAGCTTGAGGATCTGCGTTCACTGCCCCCACCCCCAACACACAAGTTCACATACACAAAAGCCAGGCACAACTGTGCCGGCCTTGAAGCCTGGCATTGGAGCAGCAGTCCCAGGAGGGTCACTAGGGATTGCTGGCCTACTAATATATGACCTCCAGGTTGAGTGAGCACCTGTCTCACTAAATAAGTTGGAGAACGAGTGCCTGAGGAAGACTCCTGATGTTAACTAATGGCATCCATGCACCCACATGAACATATACAGAAAGAAAACCTTTACCCAACTTCCTATATTTTTTTTAGATTTATTTATTTATTACATATACACCAGATTGAATTGTAGATGGTTG